ATCTTTCAATGAAATAATTGGTGTAATTTGTCGATAGCCTTGCGATCACTAAATTGGATATTTTGGATGAGTTCGAGGAAATCAAAGTAGCCGTCAGTTATGAGTTGGACGGCAAGACATATACGGAGGCGCCGCCAGGTTTGACATGAATTTAATGAATATATTGTTTGCGTAACTAATTTGTGTATCAATTGGCAGCAAATGCCGCGGATATGGCGAGAGTTAAAGTGAATTACGAGACTTTTAAGGGATGGCAGACATGTATAGCCAAAGTCCGCAAATTTGGTGATTTGCCGAAGAATGCTCAGGACTATGTGCGAGCTGTCGAACGCTTAGTGAATGTGCCGGGTAATTATCACATTAAACTTCATGCTATGTGTATGTAATAAACTAATGATTATCTCGTATTAATTGCAGTCAAATGGGTTGGTGTGGGCCCTAAACGCGAGGCTATTATTACGCTGTTTTAAACACTTTTATCTCTGTATTGACTCTGTATTTAATTTATAAGAATTTGTAAGAATATTTAAACTTTAAATTTGAACGTAAAGTTTATGTTTTCAAAGTTTTAAAAGTTTACGTAATTTATGTGTTTTCTTTAAATAATAACATTTATGGCCGATATTGTAAACAATACGTTCATATCAGATGTAAAGTGAAGACAACTGAAGACAACAACTGAAGACAACAACTGAAGACACGATGACATCGAAAGAGATGTGCAGATATGGGAACCAATGCTATCGCAAGAATCCCATTCACTTCCAAGAGTTCGACCATCCGTTTGATCCCAAGACACGACTCACAGCCAGTGATGACAACACCACTCAATCCATGGCCTCCTCTTCGACACAAAACCCAAACAAACGACTGAAGAGTTCGGACGCGAAGACAGAGACGGAGCCAACGATTGACTCAAATATTTTGGGCTTTTATTTGACAAAAGTCTCGGGAATTGACGACAAATACAACGAAATGACGGCAAAAGCGATTGACTTGAAGGAGATCTTAAGCGCAAGAAATGGCAAACTCTTGGAATCGATTCAAATGAATTACATGTTTGAGATGGACTGGCTGTTATCGCAGTACCCCAAACAGTTCCGGACACTGCCGCTGATGATTGTCTACGGATCCAAACGCGACGGTATGGCCACCAAAGAGATGCAAAACCAGACCAAAGACTACCCTCACGTGCGTCTGGTGGGCGCCCAACTCGTGGACCCCTTCGGCACCCATCACTCGAAGATGATGTTCTTGAGGTACGACAGAGGGCTGAGGGTTGTCATCCATACGGCGAATCTCATCGAAAGGGATTGGACTCATAAGACACAAGGCGTTTGGGTCAGCCCTCTGTTCCCTCCCCTGCCGTCCAGCCATTCCTCCGATGCAGACATATCTCAGACCAGATTTAAGACGGATTTGATTGAATACCTCCAGAGTTATCACTCGATGGAAGTGAATGAATGGATTGAAACGATCCGACGGCACGACCTCTCGTCGGCCAAAGTGTTTCTCATTGGATCCGTTCCGGGAAGACATGTCGGCGCAGACATGAAGTGCCGATTCGGTCACTTGAAGTTACGGCGAGTGCTGTCAGAGTTTGGGCCGTCGGCTAAGAGTGTGGACTCGAGTTGGCCCGCAATCACACAGTTCTCGAGCATCGGGTCGTTGGGTCCGACGGCAGACAATTGGCTCACAAACGAGTTTCTCAGCTCTTTGTCGACAGTCTGTGGCCCCAAATCACTGACAACTCGACCGCAGATGAAGTGTATCTTCCCGTCCGTTGAAGACGTGAGGACCAGTTTGGAGGGCTATTGTGGCGGCGGATCTCTGCCCTACAGGTGCGCTCTTACTGTCCATAATTAGTATTAACTCTGTTTTGTGTCATTAGTTCCCAAACACATCAAAGACAGACATATTTGTCATCATTTCTTCACTTATGGCGGAGTGAACGCAGGGGTCGATCGCATGCCGTCCCTCACATCAAGACTTACGCCCGATATTCAAGTGATTGGAAACAAATGGCATACTTTCTGCTCACTTCTGCCAACCTATCGAAGGCCGCTTGGGGTCAGCTCCAGAAGAATGGCTCACAACTGGCCATCAGATCCTATGAGATTGGAGTCCTTTTTATACCAAAACTATTTGTATGAAAATTATTGTAAATTTATGTCATTTTAAGTCTATTTCGTAACGAAAGGCAAATCAAGAGTTCTTTGATGTCTCGAAGACTGAAGACTCGAAACAGATGTCAAACACGTCTTCATTTGCGATCCCATACGACATCCCTTTGACTCCTTATTCTTCAAATGGTATTCATTTGAGTCAATGTTTGCTTCAATTGTAATGACATTTGTTTTGTAACTAATTGTCAGACACTGTGTGGACGTGGGATACGCCTCACACTCAACTGCCCGACACTCACGGCAACGCTTGGATACCCGGCTCATCCTAACACTCAATAACTGTTCCTTTATTTGTCTTCAATATTAATGGATATATATTTTCATTGATTTAATTCAGTATTTTATGTAAATAAAGAATAAAGTTTTAAATTTTATAAATATTTTCAATGTTTTATTCATATTATTTCACTTTTACTCACTTTTATTGAAAACAATGGTTGTGTGCAATGAAAGCAAGAGAATTTAAATCTAATTTTTTCCATAAATTCTATATGTTTTGAATATAGTTTTCATGTTATAGATAAATTTTGATGATCAATAATTTGTTTAATAAATAACTATTTACTTTCCATTTATTAATTTGATTTCTTTAAAAAGTTACTTATTATACAGAGTATTGATTGCGTTGAGAAACAATTATTTCCGGTCTGAATGAATGAGCATTTGTGGCAAACATTATGTGATATTTGTATTCATGTATTCATTCATATAAATGATGCATTTGTTTTGATTGAAAGCTCGAAAATCTATTCATCGGGATTTGTCGACAATGATTTTTTATTCTCTAAAATACAAAGCAAATACATTTGGGTCGACCTCTCAAAACATGTTACAAAAAGTGTTTCAAACATATCTTAATTCATTTGATGTAGAGTTCTGTTAATATTACAGTACAAAGTATGTTGGATTAGGATTAAGTCAAATTTAATTTTTACATCATTTCAATATGTGTTGAATAACTGAATATCGTGTTTCAATATCAATCCCTTATATTTGTAGGATTAATTCTTTTAATATAAATGTTGAGATTATTACCAAGATTCTCACAAAGTTTGTCAAACAATTGACAGCAATAACTGGATAATAACAAAACTTTTTAGACGTGTGTTAACTATAATGTCAAGTTTCGCACAAACTTGACACAATGTTATATTATGGGTAACTATGAAAACAGAATATTCTGGTATTTGTTAACCGATAATGAGATTTTGTTCACAAAATTTCGCAAAATATGCCAGATTTACACCAATCAATCACTACACGGCAATGGGTTTTCAATTCATGACCAAAAATATGCAAATTCTTTGAATACAATCGAAGTTTGAGATAAAGAGTGATTTTTCTCTACATTCAGTTGAAATACTAATGAATGGTTTGTCGCGAATCCACCAATTGATTGATATTCACATTCATTACTCTCATAACAAGAATGTATTCATTGATCAGTCATTGGAGTTCTTTAACCATTTCAGACAAATTGATCTCAATTTCCGTAAATTCAAAGGTCTGTCATTCAATGACTTATTGTCCCCAAAATTTAGAGTTAGATATTAATACATGCAATGATTGAATGCTTTAAACAAATAAAACTTTTTGAAATCAGTGAAGCATTTGATAAGAATTGAGAATAATGTTTGGATCACTGAATCAAAGCAAATGATGTGATATCCAAATAAATTATCTGCAAAATAATAAAATTTTTATGCAAATCTCAATGAAAATCAACTAATTATCCATTATTAAAGACACTAAAATCAAAGCATCTATTAAATGTGATAAAATATAAACAAGTATAATTTATTATCTATGATTGTATGGAATTCACGAGAATTGAGTCTAAAATCTCATTAAAAATTATTTAAATATTAATACAAATTTAATAACTTATGTACCAAAATCAGTCGTGGTGTAAAATTAATGTTTAAAACATAGCTAATTAATAAACCATTTAGCTTTTAAACTCTCTCTCTCTCTCTCTCTCTCACTCACTCACTCACTCTCACTCACTCACTCACAAAAATCACTCTCACTTTTAGTGAACAAGTTTGCCAAACATTAAACACTTCCTCATGTCTTAATAGTGTACATATAATATACGTTGAGATGGTATTAATGTGTGGAAAGTAGTGGTGCTCTCAAACCATTTGCCACTTTTTAAGGCAAAACTATTTTATCGATTTTCGCACATCGAGTCTGTGAGCCGTTGTGTTATTTAGAGTTCACATTACACTACAAATCCCTATTTCAATGTTTGTGTTCACAATGCTATTGCCATCACAATTGAGTGCCAGCGCTCACTAGCACTGGCAGCACAAGAATATACGAGAATTATATGAAACGCTTTTTTCCGTATAAAAGAGAGACTGACTCTCACTTGTCGTCCGAAATGACATGAAGTGACGCTTAGTTTTTGTGTCAGCGCTCACTAGCACTGGCAGCACAAGAATATACAAGAATTATATGAAACGCTTTTTTCCGTATAAAAGAGAGACTGACTCTCACTTGTCGTCCGAAATGACATGAAGTGACGCTTAGTTTTTGTGCTTTTGCTGCAAATATATGTTAAATAAGTGTTGAAATGAATGTAACAAAAGATTTGAATATAATTTTCAGTCTCCTTTCGGCTCTTTTTGTTTCCTTACAAATCAATTCTGTGTTCAAAAAGAAAATTATTTTTCTTAAGAATTTGTATAATAATTATCTCTGAAGTATAAAAACTTTATGAAATTCATTGTTTTAAGAAAATCAATTCAATCCTTTGATAATATCCTCACCAGAAAAAACTCGTCTCATATTCTTATCAGTCGTTTGCAAACCCTTCAGACTTTTCAGTTATTAATGTTAATAGTGTTTACCAAAAAACTTTAGACATCGAGTGTCTTATTAGTGTTTTGTTGCCACAAATGCTTTGATTTTTGTTGCGTTGAAAATATTTGCTCAAAACCTATGGCCAGACGGGTTCGCAGCGGATGTTGTAATGCATTTCAGCGCTCACTAGCACTGGCAGCACAAGAATATACGAGAATTATATGAAACGCTTTTTTCCGTATAAAAGAGAGACTGACTCTCACTTGTCGTCCGAAATGACATGAAGTGACGCTTAGTTTTTGTGTTTTTGCTGCAAATATATGTTAAATAAGTGTTGAAATGAATGTAACAAAAGATTTGAATATAATTTTCAGTCTCCTTTCGGCTCTTTTTGTTTCCTTACAAATCAATTCTGTGTTGAAAAAGAAAATTATTTTCTTAACAATTTGTATAATAATTATCTCTGAAGTATAAAAACTTTATGAAATTGATTGTTTTAAGAAAATCAATTCAATCCTTTGATAATATCCTCACCAGAAAACAACTCGTCTCATATTCTTATCAGTCGTTTGCAAACCCTTCAGACTTTTCAGTTATTAATGTTAATAGTGTTTACCGAAAAACTTTAGACATCGAGTGTCTTATTAGTGTTTTGTTGCCACAAATGCTTTGATTTTTGTTGCGTTGAAAATATTTGCTCAAAACCTATGGCCAGACGGGTTCGCAGCGGATGTTGTAATGCATTGCATCTCAATGAAGACAACTCCCGGTTCTTACTGTTAGCACTCGTACTCATAGTATACATGATTTTGGGCGCAATCCTCTTCCACCTCCTGGAAAGGGATGTCGAGGAGAGGGCCCGACAGAAGTATTGGAGAATATTTGACAAATTCCGACACAAATACCAGAATCTGATTAATGAAAGTGATTTGAATGAACTTCTCTATGAATACGGAAACGCGACGGCCAGTGGTGTGATTGGGCCCACACAGCGCTGGGATATATCCGGATCATTTTATTTTGTGGCTACTGTCGTCTCAACCATAGGTACTATCATTTTAGATTACTTTTTATTAATATTCATTACATTTTGGTAACTATTATTGTGGATTTCATGCGTTGAATAAATTATCTTTTATAAAATACTAGAAAATTACAAATCAATACCTATTCTGTAAATAAATAATTTTCAATTTTATATTTTAATGTGCGATAAATAATAAATGTATTGATTATTCATTAGAGTGTGTCTCAAAATTTACGTTTTCTTTAATAATTGATCCAAAACTCGATATTTAATGTGATATTTAATTATATACCAAAAGATTTGGAAAAATATAATTTTTTCCAGCGACTAAGAATTGTTTTTATTAATTTGACTTCAAATATATTTTTTTACTTAATCTGAATTACTTATTGCATAACAGTTTTGCTTAATGTGTCACATAATAGCGGCGTTTTTTGTACATAAAACTTAATTTGCAACAAATGTGTGTAATCTTTACGTCTTAACGAATTGAGTCAAAAGATTTTTGTATAATTTTTTTAGAAATTCAATTGAAATACTGAGTCATTTATTTGAGTTAAGAATATATTTTTGTATAAATAATTTGAAGTATTGATTGATGCGAAACAGAACCGCAGAATTGGACCCAATTTTTATCCAAACTTAGTATTCGGTGGCAATTCTTTAGCCAAAGTGTAAGTTTACAAAAACAACAGTTTTTAGTGCGAAAACAAAACAAAAAATAAAAGCAAACGTTTTGGAAGTCTTATTGAATAATGATATACAGTATAATATATAAGGATTTGAATGCTATTATTCTGTAGTTTAGAATTAAATCCCTTTTTGTTTGAGAAAAGACTACAGAATAGGAATATTTATTTAAAAATATATATTCATTTGTCACTGAAATCATTGCTATTGAATGACATAAAAACTTAAATGAAATCTCCATTTATTATAAATATTTTTCATCTCATTTACAGAATATGAGTGAATATTACAGAATTTGCAGAATATATAACTTATCGGAAAGAATAATGTATGCATTCAAATGAATTGTCAACACGTTTTGTATAAATATTCTCGTTTAAAGTCAAATAAATAACACATTTTTCTAAAAAATGTTTCAAATCTCTGTTTAATCGAAAGTAATTTTCAATACAGTAAGAGATTTATTATTGACATTAAAAGCAAATAATCGTCTCTTATATTCAAAACTCGACTCAAGGATTGTTTATTTAGAGACATATTTTATGACATAATAAACAGTTATGTTTGAAACAAAGAGTTTTAAAATTTTTAAATGCATTTTCAAAATTAGATAATAATTATATCAAAATGTATTAAAGTTTCTAGCTAAATGGATAGACTATTATTAAGCGCTTATACTTTAAGCCAAGTTTATATCCATTAACTTATATTTTATTTAACTTTTGTTAAGTAATGAGAAAGTTTAGTGTAAATAAGGCTCTGAAGTCGTGTTTCAATGCAATCAGAGATAAGACATTTAAACTAATATTTAAATTATCTTAAGACCTGTTAATTACAACTAATATTTTATGTGACAAATATTTAATCCTATTTTGCAATTTTGGACAAAATGCATATTTCATAAATCTTTTCTTATAATACTAGTGTAGCATATATTTGTTAATCTGTATCCATCTATAATAAAAACAGTATTGTTTGACTTAACGTTTAAAATATTTATTATGTGTAATAAATAATCGATTGAATAGAAAATGAGTTTTTATGTCGAGATATGAATGGAGTTTTGGTCCGAAAAGGGAATTAAATGAGATCTGTGTCTGAGATCTGAGACACAGATTAGTTTGAGTTGAGACGCGACTTATCGTAGAGTAAAGTCGGTTCGCAAACCGTTAATCACATTCTCATGAATACAGAAATGAACGATAATTTGATGACAATATTCTCCGTAAGCCTTCATTGCATTTACAGTTTAAGTCATTATTCAATAATAAATCATTTGAATACCACTTCACATATAAGTGGCAAACAATATGTTTATTTAGATACTAATGATTGTCTAAATTATTTCCCAGACTTTAAGCCTTGCAATTAAATTGAGTTGTAAAATGTCTTCACAGAAAAGTTTTATTTTTTACAAATGTTTTGTGTAATGATTTGCACGAAAACAAGGCAAACATTGCATAAGTAGTCATCACATGAATAAAAAGGCTTTTAAAAATTGAATGCATTTGCCATTCGTATTGAGAATAATATAACTTTTATCTTCATTTGTATGAAAATCGGGTCAAAGAGATCGCAATTGATTTAGACATAAGACCAGAGATTTGACTAAAAGTGCGAAACAATTCAAACAAAATAATGATAATATGCTAACAAAGAAGACAAATGAGTCGAAAATGAAAATTGTATTGATTTTGAAGCCAGTCTTCATATTTTAAACGCCACGACTTGACTGAACACTGAATATAGGAATCATAGGAATCACAGAACCGTAAGCTTTTTGCTGGGAATCCACTCTCTCTTTGTTTGGTTAATGTTTTTCGGATACGAATAAATGGCATCGAAATCATCGCCAGTTTTCTTAGACATTATGTCATTTTTGTGCCCAAACTCTCATAAATCTCTATAAAAGGTTTAGTCGTTTTATGCCATAAAATGAATATAAATTACACGCAATTATGCGCTTTATTAGCGATCAATCGATTGATAAATACCTAAACTTATGATATCTTTTCCGAAATAAACTTTTTTAATATATTAATGCTTTTAGAAATAGTTTTTTGCTTAAATAAAAGTCAATATTTTCCTAAATTTTTTCTTACGTCAACAACTATACAGTCATATAAATTAGAAAATATTGAAAAAGTCTTAAAGTCTTTATAAAACTAGAGCTGAAAGTAATTTTCTAAAATATTTAGTTTTTAATTAAAATGAACATAACCTTTACTTAAAAATTTTTGGGTAAACAACAAGATTTTCATGAATTACATTCATTTGAATTTGTGTTAGAATAGTGTCTGAGTTATTATATTTTTAATTTAGAGAGCAATTGAAAAGCACTTAATAATTATGACAGAAAGTGTCAAATATATTAAATTTTCTTCTTTTCTCATAAAATTCATTTCAATTGAATTTTATGTTTCTCTTGAAAAGCATGTATAGAGTGGAGTATGAGATGAAAAGTACTCTATATATGAGACTGAGATAAGAAAAATTCAGTTTTGGTTCAATTGATTATTTGAAAACTTTATTTAAAGTTAAAAATTATATATAACTTTGATATAAAGTTTTGCTCAAAAATCGAAATCCATTTCAAAACCAATGCAAGAGATTAGTGATGCAACAAATCCAATGAATATTTTCATATTTTGTGTACAAATCTAAAGGTTTAAACATTTTAATTGCTTACAAATATATAATACAAATAAAGATTCTTTAGATTTGTACTCAAAATATGAAAATATTCATTGGATTTGTTGCATCACTAATCTCTTGCATTGGTTTTGAAATGGATTTCGACTTTTGAGCAAAACTTTATATAATTTTTAACTTTAAATAAAGTTTTCAAATAACCAATTGAACCAAAACTCATTTTTCTTATCTCAATTTATCAATTTTACAAATAAAAAATAAAATAATTTTATTTTACTATGAGTTCATAAATATTCAAAATTTGTTATACCATATATAATATTTGAGAATAACTATAATATAACTTAATATCGATTTCTTATGCATACTTATAGTGTTAGAATGGATTGAATATATAAAATGTTTGATTGTCTGTAGGCTTTGGGATGACAACTCCTAAATCCATTTCTGGCCGAATGATTGTCATTATATATGGATTTTTTGGTAAATATATTAATTGTGTCTAAATTTATAATCACTTTGTTATGCATTTTAAGAATAATTCTATTACACAATACTCTTTGAAAGCTAAATCTAATTACAGATTGAGTTAAATTTGAGAATTGTTTGCATTTATGAGTCAATAGAGTACTAGTAATTGGCTTTATTTGTACTGATATTTGAAACCAACTCTCAGATATTTACCATTCATTTGATTTTATTGTTTTTCTCATCATCTCTAACGAGATCCAGCTCTCTCTCGCTCTCTCTCTCTCTCTCTCTCTCTCTTCTTATTAATTACTTAGCATAAGAGTAATTTTATGAATGATTGTAAGAGACAAATGTATTCAAAATATGCGAAATATATTCAACACAATTGCGTCAATTGTCTCTCTCTCTCGCTCTCTCTCTCTCTCTCTTCTTATTAATTACTTAACATAAGAGTAATTTTATGAATGATTGTAAGAGACAAATGTAAGCAAATGAGAGAGAGAGAGAGAGAGAGAGAGAGCTTATGATTGATTAATCAATTCTCTGTGCATTCACTAAATTATAATATTGATGTTATTAAAGGCTGTTCCGGAGGAATATTATTCTTCAATTTATTTTTGGAGCGAATTATAACACTATTGGCTTATGTTATGAGACGATATCACGAGAGACGCATCCGAAGGGATAATCAAAGACGTGATTCACTCTATAAGAACAGAAGGGAGTCGTGTGTATCGGTGGACGAGAGGTTGGACAGGAACTGGAAGCCATCGGTGTATTGGGTGATGACAGTGTTGGCCACATTCACGACACTCATAGGCATCTCTGCGTCGGCCGTGTACTCGATGGTCGAGGACTGGGATTACTTGGATTGCATTTACTTCTGTTTCGTCGCCTTTTCGACCATTGGTTTCGGCGATTTGGTTACCAATCAGAAGGATCCCATAGGACACGACTCCTACCACTCCCTCGTCTACCGGATCGCCAACTTTGTGTTCATAGCATTGGGCTGTTGTTGTATTTATAGCCTGTTTAACGTGACCTCTATAGTAATCAAACAATTTCTGAATTGTATGATAAAGAAGTTGAATTTCAAGTGCCGGTGCCGTCGCGGCCACCGGACGCCAGTCATGACACAAGTGACCAGAAGTCGGCGAAACGCGTTGACGCCAAACCATCTGCGAAACTACTCCAACGCCACCCACAAGACGGTGACAGTGAAGGCCAGTATCGCCGACACGAGTGACGCCGACTCGACGTATGACTCGGACTCCGAGCGCCGCAACTCTAATGAAATGATTTGTATGAAGGATGTGATCAAAACCAATGCGGTTTCGTTGGCTATACTCCAGAAGGAGTTGTATGAATGCGCCCAAAGGGAAAGGAGTTACAGGAGTCCCGCCATTCTCTTGCCCTCCAAAGCCAATGACAATGACTTCAATGTGGGAGCTGTCGGTCCGCTCGCTATTGTGTCCAAAAAGTTAGGCGAAGACGACAATTGACACAATTGTGTTGAATATATTTCGCATATTTTGAATACATTTTAATGGAAAATAATTTTACAATTAATTAATGGTTGGAATATAATGAATGATATTTGAGACTAACTTACAGTAGAATAGACTTGTTATCAAATATAAAAATAGTTTCAATTTTTTCAAGAATTATATATAAATATATGTAAATATTTCTAAATACTAGTCAACAAATTCAAACATAGAGAATTGTATTACAATTGATTGCAAATTATCATTAATTTTTATTAAATTACTATAAAACAACGAATTAATCAAATGATTACAAGTGATACCAAATACTAAATTCATTGTACTTCACAAGTTTTGTTAAGACTTTTGAAATAATTAATAAATAATAAATTAGTTCAAACATAATAACTGATAAAATATATTAAAAAGTTTTCTCTTTTCTGAAGTTTATATTAAGATATCATTTCAAATCCTTTATCAAACAAAATCTCATTCTCTCTGATATATAAAGTAAGATATAAAATAAATTTGGTTGAAACCAGTTGTGGTGACAAACACGCTTTGAAACCAAGCACTTCCAAGTCATCCTCTAACAGTTGATGATAATCGGGGTAATCGGTGGTCAGATGTCACTCTATTCCTATTATGCCTACCTGTGAATGATGTGTGAGTTACACGTTATACTCACTACCAGTACTACAGTATGGATAAAGCGATAGCATGTGAGGTACGGTTGTGAGCACTCATTCATACATTCATTCATACACTCAATACAAACACCAATCAATTGATTGATTCAACAAATTATCGTTTTATTCATAATTAAGTCAATAATCGATACAATGATACAGAAATGTGTGGACCCGAGAGCTGCCGACACTTTACAGTACTTTATAGTAGATTATGGTATAAAACAACACAACAAACACTTCAACGCTATTCATAACATTCATTGTCTCAATGTTTTGTACAAATAGTCACCGGTTTTTGATGTCAACTCACGAGTTGTCGCGTCTTATACTGAACCACAAAAACTCTTACCATTGGATATAACATAACATTACATACAATGGATTCAACGTTTGACAGCAATGCAGACAAACATTACATACAATCAAACCATTTGTCAACCATTTCTTCATATTTTATACACTTTTCACTCATTTTTTGGTCAAAAACACCGGAAGTTTGGTTTCAATATAACAAACAAAACACTTCTAATTATTTTACATTTAGTTTAGTTTTCCTTTGCCTTCCTGTCAACTCATCTATAGTTTTGTATTTCTTATCAAATATTCTCTCGAAACCCGTAATGCGAGCAAAATTCAGAGGTTTTTGTAAACAATTATATTAACTATAAGTCAATCACTTGTCACACAATAATCGTTGTGTGAATCAATTGACATATGATTTGTTTTCTTGACTTATGTTTATAGATAACAGAGTTTTGCATAGAATTAGAGAACGAGAGAGAGAGAGAGAGAGAGAGAGAGAGATATGGAAATACAAGAATATTTTGTGTATTAAATAATACTATACAAGAGTCTCAGTTTGCAAATGAAAACAACAATTATTGAGCAAATCATTAGTGAATAAAATTACAAAATATTATATTATTATGTGTCAGACGTTTGACAAAACAATTCATTCAATGTTTTTCATCCGCAATCATAGCATAAATCAGTAACAAATGTGTGACAAATCAATTCATTTACAATTAGTCAGAATCTCAACAAGTTTTTCACTTTTCGATAAACATGTGAATANTGTCAGACGTTTGACAAAACAATTCATTCAATGTTTTTCATCCGCAATCATAGCATAAATCAGTAACAAATGTGTGACAAATCAATTCATTTACAATTAGTCAGAATCTCAACAAGTTTTTCACTTTTCGATAAACATGTGAATAGTTTTCATTTGTAAATTAAAATCCAAAAACAGCCAAAACTCATAATTTTCTCTCTCATCAAAACATTTTACTGACAAACAAGTCATTTGTATAATAACTTATAATTTTTCCATCAAATATTTATATTAAACTAAATAAACTCTATATAATTGTGTTCACTATTAATAAGTTAATACCAATTAAAATAGAAAACAATTTTCACTATACTGTATAAAAAACATTTGTTAGCGATATTAGACAAACATGAATCAACTAATCATCAAATAAAGTACCGGTATATATAAAAAAAAACAGTGAAAAATTACAAAATAAATGTTCGGTAATAATCATGAGATTTGTTTGGATTTTGAAAAACAAAATAAAAAACTTATTCTCATTGTATAGTACATAACAATAAATACATGTATGTGTGTACAATTCATTCAATGTTTTTCATCCGCAATCATAGCATAAATCAGTAACAAATGTGTGACAAATCAATTCATTTACAATTAGTCAGAATCTCAACAAGTTTTTCACTTTTCGATAAACATGTGAATATTTTCATTTGTAAATTAAAATCCAAAAACAGCCAAAACTCATAATTTTCTCTCTCATCAAAACATTTTACTGACAAACAAGTCATTTGTATAATAACTTATAATTTTTCCATAAAATATTTATATTAAACTAAATAAACTCTATATAATTGTGTTCACTATTAATAAGTTAATACCAATTAAAATAGAAAACAATTTTCACTATACTGTATAAAAAACATTTGCTAGCGATATTAGACATAAAATAAATTAGCCAAACATGAATCAACTAATCATCAAATAAAGTACCGGTATATATTTTTTTGTCACTTTTTAATGTTTTATTTACAAGCCATTATTAGTACTCTAAACAAACCTAAAACTTTTTGTTTTATTTTTTGAATAAGAGTAACATATCATGTATTGTTATTTATGTACATACACACTGTTGTTTGCAATTAACGTGAAACTCAGGTGTTATAACACATTCACGTAATGATTGACGCATTGATTGCACACATATTTTCTCATCAAAAGTACTCTCAAGAGTTTTTAACTGTTATTCTGGTGTCGAGAAAGTCGTGTCACACAAACAACAACACAATTACCGGTATATTGTATTACATATCGTATAATCATTGAAATTACAATCTGCGACAATATATGCCAAACAATGCATATTATGACGCACTCAGGAGTGCCTTCAAAACAAACTCATTTTTTATTGACTCTCATATATAATAGCCGTATATATACTGCATATTAATCAACACATTATCGCGAAAAACACCAACACTTTTTGTACGGTATCTCTATTTGTCTGTCTCTCTGTCGCCAACAAATCCAATGATAGCATCGTTTCAATGGATAATAATTATTAACAATATATATATAAAACGATAAGAAGTTTTTCAGTTGTATTTTCGTAGACAAACATTGAATAGGAGTTCGCATTGGAATGAATGAATTGTTGTCAACAAATGAGTTGCGATAACAAACACCGCATGAGAGGTACGGGAGAGGCATTGCATTTGCTTTTTGAATGTGATATGGAATGCCATTCCTCTCGATGGCGTGTGTGGGTGTCCGCCACAGCACACCACAGATGTCTGGTGACACATCTCTGAACACATTTTCCGTTTTGTTTTGTTTTTTCAATAGAAAAAGAGATTATTTACACGAAAAATATGATTGAAAACCAAAATAACTATATATATAATCAAAACTAATAGAAATATTTGTAGCGATTTGTGAGGCCGTAGAAGAACACTATAATCACTGGTCGATGCTTTGGGCCAAAGCGGTGGCGCTCCCGTGAAACGAGAACTGTTGGAAATATGGCTGTTCTGTCTCCTCGTTGATCGAGTTGAGGGTCGTCTGTTCGGGTGGAGTCAGTTGCACCGACTCGCCCGTGAAGTCCTGATCGAAATATCGGGTGTCGGTATCACTGGTCACCTGAGGCTTGAACGGCGGCGTCACCTGAAACCGCAACGGACGGCATATGTTGTTATACACAGAGCTATTGAGTAATGGATTCGCGATTCAGACCTTCTTCTCGAGCATATCCTGCCATTGGACTCCTCTGAAGAACGGGTGAAACATTATCTCTTTCGCGTCTTCGGGTCCGCCGCCGAGTCTCCTCTGCGGGTCCTTCACTAGCAGTCCCTGCAAGAGGTTCTTGGCTTCGGC